AGCGGGAGGTAGGATGTGGTGCGCTTGCGCACACCTTGGACTCTCATTCGCTGCTGCTAAGCGACGCTCACACCGAAACAGACCAATGGTGGTGCGTCTCCGCGGTCCTGTTGCTCAGACTCCGGAACTGCGTGGATCTTAAAGGGCTGGCACCCACTTGCTCCCCCGTCCCTCGCCTCACACGCTCGGCCGGAGGCCCACGCGCGAGTCTCACCTGGAGCGCTGTGAAGAGACTCCGATGTCCCCGGGTGCCTGGCCCGGAGCCGACAGGACTGTGCTCCAGAGGCGCCCAGGTCCCGGGTGACTGGAGTGACACTCCCTGGGCGTGGGTTCTTGCAGGCTGCGCAGCTGGGCAAGAGGCCCCAGATAGAGGATCCGAAGAGCACGGCCTCCTGCCAGCCTGGAGGAGGTGCCAAAGTCCGATCCCCGAGCGACACACCCTCGCTGTGAGGCTGGAGGGGGTAGGGTGGCAAAGTTAGGCGCCTGCTGTTGTGATCCGTGCTGAGCACCGCAGTGCGTGCCAGTCAGTGTGAACACAGCAGGGAACTCCGGACTCCAGAGACCGTGTCAGGAGGAGAGGGTAGGGTCGAGCACCAAGCACACACGAGTCGTGCAGCAGAGAAGCATGGGTTCTAGAGAGAGTTTACAGGAGCATTTGGCTTCGCTTGGGGCTCAGAGAAAGCTTCCCCAAGTAGCAGCCGGCTGGGCGAAGGAGAGCTGGTGTGTTTCACGTTCGCTTATGCACAGTGGCTGAGGCTGTAGGCTCTGCTCATAGAATGCTTCAGCTACAAAACCCCGGGTCAGCCCTGTCTTCCCGGTCCTTGGCGTCAGAGCTCCAAGCTCTCTCCTGCCTTTGGAACGTTTGCACCAGTGACTCTCCACTTCCTGGTTCTCAGGACCCATCAGCTTCACTGATAGTTCATTTTTACTTTTTGAGACAGGGTCTTAGGTGTCCCAAGCTGACCTTGAGCTCACGATGTATCCGACTGGGACTCCGAACTTGATCCTCCTGACTCGTTTTCCTGTGTGCTGGGATTACCCACGTGTGCCTCCAGGACCGGTCTGTGTGGCCCGCTGGAGCTCAAACCCAGGGTTTCCTGCCTGCTAGACAAGAGAGAGCTCTACCCACTTAGACACATCCCCAGTCCCATCTTTCCTGATTCTGAGACCAAGTGCAAGTCAGTGAACCCCAGAAGTGACTCCCCTGGTCCTCAGCCTCCATCACCACATGAGCACAGTCTCCTAATAAATTCTCACATAGAAGAAACAACCTTGATAGTTCTGTCTTATGGGGAAACCTAATACAGGTGCAGACCGCAGCTGGATAGACAGGTTGCAGTTCCGTGGAGAGAGATCTGAGTTGGGTGAAGACTCCTATAAGGCATTTTTCTTGTGGGTGGAAATGGAAACTGGCTTTATGTAATCACAGACAAATTACAAAAAGAACACGGGAAGACTTGTGATAGTCTGAAATACCCTCGGGGCACTCCTGGTATTCAAGCCCTGCCATAGTCCCCTCCCACGCTGAGTCAGGCCTGGTCTGTAACAAGCTTCAGCAAGCCTCGGTCATAATAACATTCACAGAGAAAAGCTGGTAGGTAGATAGAGGAGACTGGCACCCTACCCACTGCTTGGTCTGTCTAGATAGAGAAACTGTGATGCTAGACCTATAAGTTCTGATTTAGTGTGGTGATATTTTGTTTATGGTCTAACAAATAAAGCTGGCCTGAAGATCAGCGTGCATAGCTAGCCACACTAGTTAGCCATAGAGGCCAGGAGGTGGTGGTACACACTTTTAATCCCAGGACTTGGGAAACAGAGGCAGATGGTTCTCTGTTAGTTCCAGGCCTCCCTGGAATTTAGACACGGAATTGATCCAGTCTAAAAGAGAAACAGAGCCAAGTGGTGGTGGCTCACACCTTTAATCCCAGCACTAAGGAGGTGGAGACAGGAAGGGATATGGCTGGGCAGAGAGAGGAATATAAGACAGGACAGGCAGTCTGAGGAGCAGTCAGTCTGATACCTGACTCTAAGTTTTTATTATTAAGACCAAAGAGAATTTATGCTACAATTTAGCCAGTGTAGTGGCCCACACCTATATTATCTGTATTCAGGAGGCTGGTGCAGGATCATTGCCATGAATTTGAGCCTAGCCTGGGTGAAATAGTAAATTATATAGACCTGCTTGACTACATTTTGAGACCCTATTTAAATAAAAAAGTAGAGCTTAGAGCGTTCACTCAGGAGTTTAGAGTACTTATTACTCTTGCAGAGGACCTGGGCTTGACTCCCAGCTGGGCCACCAACCAGCTCCCAAATCATGACACAGAGACTATTACTAGTTATGAATGCTTGCTCAGCCTTATCTTATGCTTGTCCCACTAACTCTTATAACTTATTTTAATCTGTTTCTCTTCATCTACGTTTTGCATTGGGGCTTTTTACCTTTCTTTCATTCTGTATATCCTACTCCATGTCTGTCTGTCTGAAGGCTGCCTGGCTGGCCCCAGACATCGTCCTCTCTTTCTCCACTGTCCTCTCTCCTCTCCCTCCTCCTGCTCTCTCTCCCTCTCCACCAGCCCTGCCCATCCCTCTACTGCCTAGCTATTGGCCATTCAGCTTTTTATTAAACCAATCAGGTGCCTTAGGCAGGCAAAGTGAAACAGTAACACATCTTTACATAAATAAATGCAGCATAAACAGGTATAACATATCTTTACATAGTTAAACAAGTGCAGCATAAAAAATTGTAGCAGGTCTTTGCCTAGTTAAAGTAACATTCTGCAACATAAGAAAATGTAACACATCTTTACATTGCTAAAGTAATATTTCACACTATTTTCCCCCTTTTTATCTAAATAAAAAGAAAGGTTTGAACTTTAACACAGTAAGACTATTTACAATAGGACCAATTATCAAGTAAGAATTACATTTACAATATCCGGTCCATTTTTATTTGACAAATTTCGAGAAAACACTCTATTATTTATTCTATCTTGGTGAGTCCAAAGCTCTGTACCTAATTTACCTCCCATCATAACTAGGAAAAACTGTAACTATCACTATCTAGTCTTCAACTCCATCAAATACCCCAGAGGGATATAATATTACCTGAGTAAACAGGAAATGCATAGCAAATAACTTCCAAAAACTAAAGACAATCCAGAGACACCTGGCTGCCTGGACTGTCACTTGAGGTTCCTCTGAAATATCAGGCATCCATCTTGGGCCTACAGGCCTAGAACATTTGGCAGACTTTTCTATGAAGTGGGAATTTTGAAGGACCTTGTCTTGGCAAAGTTCTGCAGTCACTTTCCTTTGTGTCCTACATATCCAGTTTGGATATTATACTGTCAACCCTCAAAGCAAGGGCAGTTTCTTGCCCAAATGGCTAGCTTTGCTGCAATGAAAGCAAACTCCATATGGAGGTTCTTCTATGTCCATCATCCTTTTATGAAGTAGATTGGTGCTGCCAGGAGCAGATGTGTCTCATTGTCAAGAAAAGCTTTAGGTTATTAAACATCTTTTTTTTTTTTTTGGTTTTTTGAGACAGGGTTTCTCTGTGTAGCTTTGGAGCCTATCCTGGCACTCACTCTGGAGACCAGGCTAGCCTCGAACTCACAGAGATCCGCCTGCCTCTGCCTCCCGAGTGCTGGGATTAAAGGCTGCGCCACCAACGCCCGGCAAAACATCTTAAATGCCATATTATGTACGTCTCTGAAGCATTTGAAGTGCATCTGTCTATCTAAAACATATCTATTTAACCTTGAAAATATACCTAATGTGACTACAAGTTAATTATTATAGATGACTAACTACTAACCTACATTTTGAATTATACATTACATTTTTAAATGAGCTTCATAAGCACAATACCACACACAAGAGTAGGAACATACAGACAATATACAAAATAACTTAAAATCCAAACCAATGTAAAACATTTGAGGTTAATGGTTGTCTTTTCATCCTATATTCCTATATCCCTGCCCCCTAATTGATGACATACATCCATAACCCACTGAATGACCAAAAATTGCCCACCCTACCTCTTAGGCATGTGGGCATTGCGTTCTCTAGACTGCTTCCTGTTGTCTGAGGGCTATGGGATCTTTAGGGAACCCTGAGAAAATTGAGACAATGGTCAAGTCCTGAGAAAATTAGTTATAACATTTGTTGTGCAGTCTCAGAACTGTTCCCATGCAGAGGGATGAATATGTATGTTATCGGTCTTGTAATCTTTGTTTATTTTTTTATGTCTGTAGCCAGAATTTTCAAGAGGTCTCCCCTAGTTAAACCTGATCTCCAATAACCTTGAAGGAATCCACAGCCCTTTGTTTCTCATGGAAACAAAAGCATAACCTCTTCTCCAACACAATATGTTTTCTGAATTCCATTTTAAAGTTAAGATGTCCCTAAAGTATTTAGGCTGCTTTAATTCACAGCCAGAGAAACCCTGTCTTTAAAAAAAAAAAAAGTAGAAAAGTCCAACCAAACTAGAGTGTGGCTCGTGTGGGGAGTGGCTGTGCCTGGCATGCCTGTGTGAAGCCTTGGGCTCCACACCCAGCACTATGTAAACACCTGCAGTTCCAGCACTCTGGGGAGTCAAGCTCACAGTCATCCCTGGTGAGTTTGAAGCCAGCCTGAGACACTTTTTTTTTTTTTTTTTTTTTTGAGACAGGGTTTCTCTGTAGCTTTGGCTGCCCTGGAACTCACCTTGTAGACCAGGCTGGCCTTGCACTCACAGAGATCCACCAGGTGCTTGGGATTAAAGGCGTGCACCACCACTGCCCTGCATCTATCACACTCTTCATGACATACGACCCCCTTGCACGGCCATCCTTCTGTCCCACCTACCATCCATCTCCTCCTGCGCTGTGTAAGTGCTGATGCCACGTGAATCTGTGCTATACACACTGCCAACCTCAACCAGGTCCTTGATGCCATCCAGCAGATGCCAACTTCCGAGCTGAGCGAGTCCTGCCACCTCTGTAATCTGCACATCCTCACGCTGAGACATTTCCTCCCCTGGAGGGCTTGTTCTCCACGCTAGGGTCAATGCCCTCCTCAGCTCCCCCTCCTGCTAAAGTCATTGGCTCCTCCACTGTCTGAGCAGGAACTGAGGACAGAATGGCATTCAGCAAGGGCTCTGTCCTGTTCTTGATGGCTCTACTTCTGCCCACCCTGCCTTCTGCGGGATCTCTGGGAGGACTCCTGTGGGGAGAGACCCTCATGTGGGAACTTGAGAAGCAACGAGTCCTGACCTCACACAGGCAGGTCACCCCAAATTCTCTCATTGAATCCCCATGCAAACCTGCTCTAGGTCAGGGAAAGGAAGCTCCAGGAAGACCCTCAAGATCTCCCACCTAAGTGAAATTGTAGCGCCACACTGCCCAGGCCCAGAGTCTGACGGTC